AAAAAAAAAGGAAGAGTTAGAGAGTGGAAATTTAGATTTTAATAGTAGAAAGTGGAGAGGACATGTGTTTCAAACACAAAGAAGACTCGCAGAGGCTAAAATAGGCAGGAGCAAAGAGTACTCAGGTCAGACCCTGTGCTTGCATGTGGAGGGCATCTTAAAGAGGAGTCGGAACCCTCGGTCAGCGCAAAAGACCGAGTGACCGTTGCGCCGCAGTCCCTCCGACGCCTTTGTGCCGGGGAGACGCGCGCGGGGACCTAATCCATCAAATTGTTTACAAATTGTGAAGAAAATTCAAAAACCATATGGTCGCCAGCGCCAGCGCGCTCTGGGCTGCGGAGGGCCTCGGCCGCGCCCGCACCCAGAGCCGCGGGGGGCTGGGCCCGGCTATTGTCGCCTGTCAGCGGCCGCCCGGGTCCATTCGTCCCGGCCTTCATGGTCCGCGCTCCGAATTACAGACCCATCCATCCTGAGAGAGGGCGATTTATGCCGCCCAGGAGGAGCGGCCGGCCATACGCCTCGGCTGCCCGCCGCCTCTCTCCCTTCGTTCTCTCCTCTTTTGCCCCTCTTTCTTGTATTCTTTCTCTTATATTCTCTCTCTCTCTCTCTCTCTCTTCCTCTCTCTCTCTCTCTCTCTCTCTCTCTCTCTCTCTCCCCCCCCCCCTTTCTCGCCACTGTCTGTGGCTTTCCACTTTATCGCTTGCTTTTGGAGTGTGTCTCTGTGCTCCTTTTTCTGTTTCTGTCTCCTAGTTTCGTCCCGGACACGCACGTCCCCGACTCAGGCCCCGGGGCCCCACTGCCTGCCCGCGACCAGATGCACATTTCTCACATCAATTTTGCGGAGAAAGGGAGCTGAGCGGCCTGGAGGCGGGACCCTCCTCTGGTGACAGCGGCCACTCGCCAGCCCAGGGACAACAAAAGCCCCGAGAGGAACCGCTCACTCCGGAAAAGTGAAAGCTGCTATGCCCAGCCCCAGCCCAGGCCCCCTGGGGAGGGTGACCCCAGCGAGTCCTTGGGAGATTGATGTCTCTGCCCTCAGCCGACTTCTGCCCAGAATTTGTGAAAGTCACCAGAAATGTACCCCAACTCTCAGACGCATTGGGCTCACATACCCCGGTGCCCGGGTGTGCAATTCAGCCTGCCCTGGGTGCCTTCGGCCGCATTTCTCTCCCTCCCGCAAGGGCGAGGCCCTCTGTGGCTCCGGCTCCATGCACCCTACTGCCCAGATAGGCTAGAGCTGCCGCACACGGAAGCGCAGCCCAGCCCCAGGGGCCGCAGGAAGAATACCCTTGGGTACCAGGCGGGATGCACGAATCGCAGGGCAAATCCTCCTCCACTCTTCGCCTCATGCAAATTAATTTCTTGTCCTTGGCGCTCCCCAACTTATGCAAGCATTTGCGCCCTGCATTGTACACCCCACTTTTTACCCCGACCTGACGAAGCCTGCTCGTCTTTCTCCCCCTCCCCATCCCTACCCTGTTTGGAGCCTGACCCGTGTTTGCAGGCAAGAAATACCTCCTCCCACTACTTCTCCCTCGCCGCTCACTCTCACACCGGCCGGCAGGCCGGAAACTCCTCTATGTCTCCAAGGCCCGTGCAGCCGACAATGAGCAACACACCGAGCGTGCCACGGCTTCCCTGAACAGGGCCCACTCATTTAGACACGGTCACCACCGCTTCTAGTAAAATGGCAAAGACTTTATTTATCGGAGAAAGAGGCCTTGGGTACAGTCCGGGACGAAAAGGCAGGGCAGGAGCAGGGAAGGGGCACGTGGGACCCACCCTCATCTGGTCACCCTTGTCTGGCCAAGTCAAGCTGGGAGCAGGGCGCTGGAGGCTGCAAGACAGACCCAGAGCTGCGGAGGAGGTGGGGTGAGGGCTAGGTTGGCCTCCTCTCAGTCTCTGTCACATGCAAAAAAATTCTAAAAAGAGTAAAAAATAATTCTAGGGCTTTGGGTTATTTTTTCGTTGGTTGCTTGGTTGGTTGGATTTCCCATTTTGTCCCAAGACCCGGACCCCAGCCGTCAGTCCGAGGAAACCGAGAGAGGGTGGGGAAGAATCTTAAAAATAGCGTTAGTGGGCATCGGGAGGCAGAAATGGCATAGAAAACAGACTTCTCTCGAGGTGGGGAGAAAAGATCAATTTGAAACTTGCAAGTCTCGACCCGGCTGCCCACCTCAGCCCCTTCCCACGCGGGGAAAATGCAGAAGGAAATAAAAGAAGTCAACTGCAAGAGGCCTGGGGAGGCGAGGAGGAAGAGGGCCGGTGCATTCGCCACATGCAGAGAAAATCGAAACTGTCCCGGTGGCCCCCTCCTCCTGACCGCTAGGTTCGGTGTCCCTCACCCTCCGTTCGCCTCGCTCTCAGCAAACCCGGCAGCCTGGGAGCTTTGAAAACATGAATATCTCCGAGATTAAAAAAAAATCAGGCTGCGGTGGGAGAACCCGCTATATAGGTTTAAATATTTATACAGAAGCCATACGGAATTGCACGGCGAGGGCTCCCGGGCGGCGGAGGCCCTGCGCTGCGGCCGGCCGGCCGGCCAGCCGGGTTTATTGCTTCGAGAGGGAAGAGGCAGCTGCTGGGAGCCGAGTCCGGGCCAGGGACGGGGGAGAAGGCGGGAGTTGCAGAGGAGGTCCCAGCTCCCCTCCGCGGTCCCGGCCGTCCGGGAGGCTGCAGGCCTACGGGCTTCCGGGGCCCTGGGCGGCAGAGGATCCTGGGTTCTGCTCAATCGTCCACGTCGATCTCTTCGTCTTCCTCGTCCTCCGAGCAGTCCTGGCTGCTGGCAGGCTGGTCCGTGAGCGGGGAAGCGGGCGAGAGTTGCAGGGGCCCAGCGCCTGGGGCCTGCGGAACGCCTGGAGGGAGTGCGGGAGAGCCAGGCCTCGACTTGGCCCTGCCACAGCCGCCGCCGCCGCCGCCGCCCGCAGCCTCCGAGTTCTGCTCCAGTTCGGCCAGCGCCACGATGTCCATCTGCCCGCTGGGGCCCAGTTTCTTGGCGGACTCCACGTCGGCCTTCATCTCCTCCAGGTCCCGCTTGAGCTTGGCGCGCCGATTCTGAAACCAGGTGATGACCTGAGCGTTGGTGAGGCCCAGCTGCTGCGCGATTTGGTCGCGATCGGCCGGGGACAGGTACTTCTGGTAGAGGAAGCGCTTCTCCAGCTCGTAGATCTGGTGGTTGGTGAAGGCCGTGCGCGACTTTCGCCGCTTCTTGGGGGTCTGCCGTTGCCCAAAGATGGTCATTCCGTCTCGGCCTGCGAGGAAACCACAGTGTAGGCTTGCGCCACGCGAGAAGGAAACCCACCCACTCTCCGCACCCCACCCAGGCTCAGCGGGTCCGCGGTTTGCCACTGTTCCCTGCTCGGCTTTGATTAGACTTCCCCGGCTGTGGGAAGCCTCGGCAATTGCAAACCCCCTTTCCCAGTCTCTCTTCTAACAGAAGTCCCTAGGAAAACATTGCTTTTGTTCCCTCCCCCCCTCCCGTGGCCCCCCAAGAGTTGGTTTGAAAGACCCAAGGTTGCTAGAGCAGGAGGGAGCCAGATGGGGAAGTCCTGACTTTGGTATGAATGTTAGTACTCCCCCTTTCTTCCCAATTACCCCAACTCTACCCTCACTCAAAAGTTCCCAGCAAACGGCTCTCCATTCCTCATCCCAGGAGCAGGGCTAAGAGTGCCCAGGCCACTGGGAACGGGAGGGAGCCAGGCAGAGCAGGCCGACTGCAGAAAGACCTTGTGTTCCCGCCATCCCTTCCCGGTCACTCTGGCCTATCCAGCGGTCCCTAGGAAATAGGGTTTGGGTCCTGTCCCTCCCATCTCTACTCCGAGCGGCGGCGGTTTGGGCTGGAGGGCCCAGACGGCCGGCGCGGGAGGAGGCTGGCAGAGGCACAGGGCACGAAGCGCGTTGGGCACAGGAGGCGGGGGCTCTGGATGCCGTGCGCAGGGGAATCCAGTGGCAACACCTACCTTCGGCTGCCTGCAGGACGCTGACCTCCAGCCCCTTAAAGGTCTTGCTGGCGAGCTCCTCCAGGGCGCACAGAGGCGAGGTCTGCGAGAGCAGCGCGCGGCCCGCCAGGGGCAAGCCGCCCGGCGAGTGCTTGTCCGCGGCCGCCAGCAGGTGCGCCGCCCCGCACAGCGAGTAACTTCTCCGCACAGACGGCTTGTTGAGGATGTCCTCGATGCTGAACGGCGTCAGCGGCTTGTTGGAGTTGGCGGGTGGCGGCAGGTGGTCCAGCGGGCTGCGCCGCCGCTCCTCCCCCGGCGCCGCCTTGCCTTCCTCCTTGGAAGTCATCTCGGCCTCGTTTGGGGGCCCGGCCGGGGCGGCTCGGGCTGCGGGGACCCAGCCCGCGGGCAGCTCGGGCGCCGGGCGGCGCGGGAAAGCGGCAGCGGCGGGTGGGCAGGAGGCCGCGCCGGGCAGGGCGCGGGCCAAGCGCTGGCCAGGCGCGGGGCCGATTAACGCGGTGGCAGAGGCGAGCCGAGCCGCCCGGGGCCCCGGGAGGAGGGTGCTGACGCGGGCGCCGCCGCCGCCGGGGCTTCCAGCAATCCGGGGCCCGAGCCGGGGCGCGCCGCGCGGGGCTCCAGTTTCGCCAGCCCCGGTGCTATTTAAAGGTGTCAGGTGGCTCCGCGGCGGCTCCTGGCCCCGGGTCCTGGAGGCGGCAGTTGGAAGAGCCGAGGCGAGTGCACCGATTCTGTACTGCGAGGGGAGGCGGAGAGATGGGGCAATTGACTATTGCTAACAAGTTAGCCTTGATCGAGGAGTAATCAATTATCTGCAGCGGCACTTCTGTCTGTCTCTTTCTCCTTTCTCCCTGTCTTTCTCCTCTCTTCTTTCTCTCTGTCCTCTCTCCTCCTGTTCTCTCTCTCTCTCTCCCTCCCTCTCTCCTCTCTGCTCCCCCCCGTCCTCTCCTTCTCTCCCTCTCCCTCGCCCTCTCTTTCACTCTCTGTCTGTCCAATGCAGGCGGCTCTAAGTTGGGAAGCTCATTAATTAGCGGGCCGGGGGTAGGAGGAGCCGGCTGGAATTAGCCTGCCTAATGCGCCTGTCAGTCCGGGCGCTGCGCCGCGCTCGGCCCGAGCTGTTTGTAAATTACATTAGCGGTGCCTTTATTGCACCCGAACCTCAGACGACTGAAATGCCGCCGCCCCCACCCCAAACTGCGAGCCTCACTCCCGGCGCACCCGCCTCCCGCCGGCCTGGCTGTGAGGGCAGCGCTGGCCCGGAGGTCTCAAGCTCTCCGACCCGGGATTTGACGCCGGAGAAGGGCCGCGAGAGTCCAGCCTGGGAGGTACGCAGCCGCCACGCGGTCCAGGTAAGACAAGGAGCTTGGGTGGGACCCGCCAGCGCCCAGCGCGGACTTTGGAGAGCGGTGATCAAGGACCCAGCGCCTCTGCTCCTAGACTCTCTTGCCCCTCACCGTGGCCTTGGGCCATGCACCTGGGGAATCAGGAGGTCTAAACGGGCTCTGCAGCCCTGTATGAGGCGACCTGGGACACAGAGGTGTGGGAACCCCAGGGGCTGGGGGAGGGGACTAGTCAGAGGACTCAACCTTCCCCAGCCTAGAGGCGGGGTGAGAGTTGGTGGTGGCTCGAGGCACCTCTCCTCCGGCCTGATCCCAAAGGGACAGTCTTACCTCCTCAGGCAATCCTGCACACTTTCCTCGGGCCGATGCTCTAGAGGCCGCCTGGTGACCGGCGTCCGACCGGCGGTCGGGCCGGGTGCCCGGGCTAACGGGCCGGCTGGGGCCTCCCTGCTGCGCTCTGCTGGCCGGGCCGAGGCCCGGCTGCCGGCCCCGCCCAGCCCAGAGCCGGGCTAGAGTGTACCGCCCGGCCGACTCCAGCTGTTCCGGATGCGGGGAGGGGGCCCAGAGGGGGCCTGTGGCGGCTGGGGCTGCGCTTTTAGGAACCCGCAGAGAGGCCAGGGTTCGGGTCAGACTACGGTCTGGGGACCGTATGGCCCCGCATTCTGTGTATATCAGGCAGCATTTGTGTGCATCGGCATTTGGATGTGTTTATGTTTTTGAATGTGTATATTTGTATGTCATTCTCCATCTGTATATTTGTGTAAACAAATGTGAATCTGAGGGTATATAGGCGTGTGAGCCCTTACCTATGTCTTTCATTCTCTTGAGGCCCCCAAGGGGGTTGTGCTCCTGGCTCTTTTCTCTCTTGCTTCGCTCCTCTGGTTTGTGTGGGGCCGCTGGCCCCACCACCCTAATTTTCCATTTCTGCGCCAGGAGAGAGGAGGGGAGGGAAAGGGGGTTGGGACCAAGACAGGAAGAACTGTTCCCTTCCCCACAGCCTCGGCCCTTTCCCTGGCTTTGTTTGTAAACTCCTGGGCAGGCAGTGCCATCCGGCATCCCTGCTTAGTCAAGACAAGGGCCCAGAGAGGCTAGTGCGGAGGACTGTGGCCCAGTCCCGAGGTGGGAATGGGAAAAATAGGACCTCTTGGACTTCTTAGCCCCGTACCTGCCCCAGAGAGGGAGTGAGCCAAGCTGGGCTGTGGAGCTGGGTACAGGTTCTCTCCCTGTCTCCAGCATAGGGACCTCAGTGCACCGGAGATGGGTTGTTGCTTTATCTCCCTTTTAGTTATTTGTTTGGAACGTGGCTTGCAGGTCTCCAGAGTAAAGGGGACAGTGTAGAGATAAAGGATTCTTGTTTGGGACCCCAGTGTCTGCCGCTGGCCTGCTTGGGAGCATTGGGAGGAGCTACTTACCCTCTTCCCCCACCTTTGCGCAGCATTTTGTGGGAGGACAGGTATTCAGAAGCAGGGTGAGAATGGGATTCTCCGCTCCCCCAGGGCTGCAGAACTATCCCCAAGGCAGACCGTCTCTGGTGCATCAGTGCTGTTCTGGGAGCCATGAGGGCCTACCAACCATGGGGTCAGAGTCTAGAGATGGTGGAGAGGGTGCCAGGGAGCTGGACACTGCTGGCTTGGATGCTCAGGAACTGAGAGCGGTCCGCCCTCTCCTCTCACTTCCTGCTCTCAGGATCCTGCCTCAGCCTCTGGCCCGCTGCTCTTTCCTGCCATAACCCCAAAGCCCAGCCCCAGGCCTGAAGCAAGACACCCCCCCCCCCACCATTGCTAGCAGAGAACAGGGACTCTTGGGTCCCTATCCTGGAAGGGGCTTCCTCCCATACTCTCCCATTCTTCCTATCTGTTCCTGTATTCACACCTGATATTGGCCTGTAGGACCAATCTCCCAGCCCCTCAGGACCAGCAAAGTTTAAAGTACTATGAGGCTGCCAGGAAGATGAGGAACGTAATTGGGGAGCAGAGGGGGTGGTGGCATAGAATTTCTCCACTGGGGCACTATTTCCTGGGGTCTTTCATCTTCAACCACATCATGTCAAAGTGGACAGGACATTCTACCATCATCTGCTTTATTACCTCCTTCACCTACTATGGCCACACCTCTTCTTCCTTTCCTAGCCAGCAATAGCAGTTCAATCCCGAGGCTTTGTCTTTTGGGCCTGATTTGTTCAACTCCTGTGCTCCAGCTTGGCACGGCAAGGAGTTCAAGGGGCACCTGGGGGTGTTGCCTACCCATTTTGTTGTTTAGGGTCCCCTGCCTGCATCACCTCATCCAGGCCATTAAAAAAAAACAAAAAACTGCCCCACCAACCTTTTCCATATCCCACAGTCCTTCCACCCCCCCCCCCCACTATAGACTCCAATATGTGGGTGGCTAGAATTTTCTGAACTCCTGGGAGCCCACACCCGTCCTGCAGAGCAAGGAGCTATGTTTTGAGTTTGTGGTCAGATTCACTTCTTCTCCCACCAGACAAACCTGGCGGTCCTTGAGGGCGGGGATCTTTACCTGGGAATTCCATACACCCCAGACCTGCGCAGGCCAGGCAATCACCTGGCACCCTCTGTGTATTGGTTGAATGAGTTTTTATCAAGCAAATGAAGTACAAATGGTTGTATATCCTGGAGGGGAAAGTCTTGGGCCTTGACTGTCCCCACTCAGAGGATATTTGGAGATTGTGAAAATTGGAAGGAAGGGTAACTCAGGGGCAGATGGGGTGGGGGTGGCAAGGAGGAACCCTGCCAGTTGCTCTCCAAAATCTAACCTTCTGCCTGGGACCCCATGCTGGGTTGGGAAGACCTTGTGGGATCCTCAACCCCCAGTAAGCTGAGCCAGTGGCATCTCCCCTGGAGCTGGATGTAGCTTGTCCCTTGAGTTTGCTCCACAGAGGGAATGCCTGTCTCCAGAGCCTGGACTCCCAAATGTGTGCTTGCTGCCTGTACCCCCAGGGTCCAGCCTTATTCTGTCTCCAGTGGAAGGGGAAGGGTTTATTCTGCCAAATATCTGCTTTCCCCCTACTCCAGTGAATATTCCAGACAAAGAGGAAGGAAAGCATATTGCATGAATTGCCAGGATAAGGGGACCCTGTAGACCCAAACAAAATGACTTATTCCTTAGCGCAGGAGAATAATCCAAGTAAACCCCCAAAGGCTCCATCGGCTTTAATCCAGATTGCTGTGGTAGCCCCATTTGTTTCCAGATTATTTGTGTAAGCACCAGCATCGGCCCTCAGGCCAGAGCTGCCCTAAAGAAAAGGTTCTGACACCACTTGACACGAGTTAACTTGACCACCAATTGGGATCATTTCTGTCCCCTGAGCAACTGCTCCTCTGACTCTCCTTGTGGAATTCAGAGAGTGTTTCTTCTGCTATAGAAGTAGACTCCTCCGATAGATGGCCTCCTGCCACCCTGGCTGAACCGGGACTGCCCACTTGGTTTTTATATTCTGCCCTGGGCCACCATCTGCAGTAACAACAACAATAACCATGACAATAAACACCATAATCCCTTCCTGCGTGTGCCTGGCTTCAGGCTAAGATTTTTACTCATTTCATATATTACAACCCTGTGAGGTAGCTTCTGTTATTACCCTGATTTTACAAATAAGAAAAATGAGGCCCAGAGAAGTTAAGTAACCCATCCAAAGTCACACAGCCTATTTTGGAATCACTAAGATTTGAAGACTATTTTTTTTTTCTGACTCAAGTCTTAATCCCAGAACCATGGGGTTCTTAACCAGAGGTCTCCAAGGGCTCTTTGAATGGGCTTCGGGAGCTCTGCAGATCCCAGAAATTGTGTGTTAAATTATGTATGTGAGCCCAAGTGGGTACATTTTCCCGGGACAATGTTACATAATGTATTGGATTCTCAAAAGGGGTTGGAGATCTTGAAAAGGTTAAGGCCACAAGCAGGCCAATAGGGAAGGGGTAGGAAGAGGAAAATTGCCTCCTCACAGGCCTGGAGAGTAGGGAGCCAGCTGATCCAAAATTTGGGACAGGCTCCAAGCCTGCTTCTGGACCTGTCTTGCTGTCTCTGGCCAGGCCCAGCTCTCAGAACCTCCTCTAGCCAAGGGGGCAGAGTCTATGGCCAGGGCACTCCCTTGGAGAGCACTCCTCTTCTTTCCCCTCCCCACTTTTTG